CCCCCCCCATCACACTCCAACCTGTTCGAACCTCTTTCTAGCCCGCGCCGAGAGTCTCCGACGAGCTACGTCCGCGCATAGGAAGTTAGGTTGTTACACAGTGATGAGATAAGAATACCCATACAGTAACAGGATTTGTACACGCTGCCGTGCGAAAGTTTTCTCTATGTCGAAGGAAGATTGACGGTGAAAAAAAGAAAAACGATCAGACGCCAACGACGCTTGTAAATAATTGTGTGGCATTCATGTTTGATGAAATTCGATATGAACTCAACGGTGTGGAGATTGATCGCAACAGAAACGTGGGCATAACTAGCACGCTCAAGAATTATGTATCGCTAATGTATGACAAATCTTTGATTGCGCTGAACGCTGGATGGAACACTAGATCTGACACAGAGGAAGGACACTTTAATTTTTGCGTACCGCTCAGCATGCTGTTAGGCTTTTGTGAAGATTACAAACGCCTGATCGCCAACGTTCGCCACGAATTGATTTTGATACGAGCGCGCAACGACAACAATTGCTTGATGGGAAATTCTGCGATGGAGCCTGAGGTTGAATTATTCAAAGTGCAGTGGCGGATGCCTCACGTTACGTTAAACGAGATGAATAAATTGTCAATGCTGCGAGCATTGGAAAGCGGTCGTTATCTGAGCTTGAGTTTTCGCTCTTGGGATCTGTACGAATATCCTCTGTTACAGAATACGACAAAGCATTCATGGGCCGTCACAACGGCGACTCAGCTTGAGAAGCCGCGATACGTTATCTTTGCTCTGCAGTCGACCGGTCGAAAGAATGTCATGTCAGAAAATGGTAGCGTGTTCGACGATTGTAATTTGAGTAACGTGAAACTTTATTTAAATTCAACGTTTTATCCGTACGACGATTTAAATCTGGATTTTGACAAAAAGAGATATGCCGTCCTGTTTGATATGTACGCCCGTTTTCGTAGAGCATATTATGGAATCGATTGCTTCGAAACGCTACTCAACGTGCTTTTATTTATCAATGAAGGAACTTTTGTGGTCATTGACTGCTCGCGACAAAACGAATCCGTCAAGAGTGCCACTGTGGACGTACGCATAGAATTTGACTGCAAGGAGAATGTGCCTGCAAATACTACAGCCTATTGTCTCATCATACACGATCGCGTGGTTCAGTACAATCCGTTGACCAAC